CAGCTATCCAAATTCTTAATATCAAGAATATGATGCAGAAGCAAATGAATGACATGTAAGAGATGCGTAAGGAAATGCAACCTGTATTCCCTGAAGCAGGCGGAGGGGATGTAGTAGAGCTGGAGGCCTCACTCATCACGATGCCTTCATTGATATGTTTTCTAGACATAATCCATATAATGATTATCAGTTTAAAAGTTGCAACATTGTATTAAGAATGTTTTCTTTCTACTTCTCATAACTCATGAGCAGTTAACCCTTTTTAATTATACATATGATTATTTACACAACCTTCAACTGTATTACCAAAACCAGCACCTATCTGTTACATGATTTTGAATGCAAGCATCAAGATGGTTTAAAAATATTACCGAGAATTAAAAGTTCATAGTTTCTGCCAATATGTGTGAGTTCTGCCACATATAAAACTACTCAACCTCTACATTTCAGGTCAAATCTCAAAAGCAGAGGAAGGCCATTTCTTTACACCTTTTGATTAACAGTTTTCAGTAAAGGGTCAAGGAATTTAATATACAAAAAACATGGTTATGATTGAAGATTGGATATATTTCATCAAGAAACTACAAGGAGTCCAAAAATGTAGATCCGGAAGCAAATTTGTTTGATGGTAGTTTGAAGGTAAAAGACACAAAAAGATCGAATCATGCTCAGAGACTAAAATATTTGATGATGTAACTTTTGACTAATTTTAATGAAGTAAAAAACAAACCAATCAAGCTTTGAAGAAAAAATTAAGAAGGAAAATAGTTTCTGCGATGAAACTCACTAATGCAGCGAGAATAATGGGTTAAGCTAAATCTAAGCATAAATGTATGCCCTTATCAAACAAATCGTATCCTCAAGTTGTTCTAGTGCATTAGATTTTCATGTATCCATTTAACTGTTAACAGGATTAACCAACATCTGAACAGAATAAACCTTATTGCAGTTCAAACTCTATTCATCAATAGGATATGAGCACCTGGATGGAAGACTTTCTTTTACTGATTGATATCTTTTCCAGTGTTGTAGAGTTGTTTTGTGAGTCGCCTTCTTTGTACCACCTCTATAAGCCCTAACTACAAACTCTTCATTTCTCTCTCTGAAAAGGAGTTTGCTATGTTAATATCAGGAACCATATATTTGGAGGGTAAATGATATTAACTACCTAGCAAAAAGTATATACAATGAACTAGAAGCTGCCAAATACAACATACAATTAATAGATTAACGAAATGCGAGTTCAATAACTTACTTCTGCTCAAAGTTTGATAACCATTTAAGATAAGCAGCCCCAAAATATACACTGACAAAAGGCTTCTTCAGGACATCTGGGTTCCCTTCTAATACATAAGATTGATAACCCAATTCACTGCAAGACCAACAATATTATTGAGGTATATGTTATAATTGTGTTTTAATTGATGAACTACGTTTAGGTATATATTTGAATATGCAGGATGTAATGTATAATATATCAAATCATCATCTTCATACCTGATAAGCCACTCAGCAGTTTTAAGTGTTAGTTGCATGATCCCTAATGTTGTCTCCTTGGTTTTTTTGTCATAACGTGTTGCAAGAAGTTGTCTATCGCTCTCAAGTTCCGCTATGGCACAGATCATTTCCTACACATATTATGAATTATGACTACATACTGAAAATTAAGTACAGCAACTATTCTTGCAACTAAGTAAAAAGATAGCCAAGAAACCCTCTTCTTTGTTTAAAAATAAATTGAATATCAATATCAGCACAATGAAATACTGTAACTGTTTAACTGATGATATAGAATATTTGAATTTAAAATGTGAATTTGATGACAATATCTGCATCCATATTTCCGTTTTCATAGATGGAAGCAGGCTTAATTCTATTCTTCTTCTAAGTATTTAATTAATTGTCTTTTTTTTATTTATTTTTTTTTATATTTGTGTGTCCGAGCCAACTTGCGTGCACCTCGACTAATTACTGGTCAACCACCTAGCCTTGCTATATTTGATTGAAAAGGAAACTTGTAGGGTATTAAATCTTAGGTAGGTGGACATCATTGTTTGAATCCATTCTCTCTAGGCCCTTTGCTATTTACATTGGTTCTTGCTAACCACAAGGTCATCCCATGATGGTTTCTTCTTCTTCTAAGTATCTAAAACATAAAGAGGCAAACATACAGCCAAAAAAATAAAATAAAAAATAACTTACAGAATCTATATTGGAATCAAAGTGCCTCTGAACAATGATATCTGCCACTGCCTGGAGAATAACATAATGTTACAAGACAATAATTTTAAAGGGCATATAACATTTCTTGTCTAATAACGTGCATCAGAAAAGGAAGAAAATCAATAATTTTCATTTTTTTTTCTGTGACAGAAATGGACAAGAAATTGAATTATCAGAAAGCAAATATTCATCTTCCTCAAGCGGATAAATAATTGAAACTATGACAAGATTGAGTTATTTTTTAAATCTTGTAGGGTTCTCATGCATACTGAAAACTTATAACCCCTTCAAGCTCTGATAAAAATATTAAAGTTAAATGCTTCCTTTAATTTTATGTCCATAAACGCTATAGAAAGGGTATGACCTTCATCTCTGTCTGAGTCAAATAAGGTTGTCCATCTGGATCCCTTGAGAGGTGAACCTTCTGTTCTTTGGACTCTCCAGCATCTAACCATTCAGCGCATACTTGAGGGCAACTCCACATTGCTTCCATGTCTTGTGGATCAACACAATCATCCCAGTACTTAAATCCAACAGCCATTCTTGACCTTGTCTATAGAACCTTATAATCAGAAGAGCATGCCAATACCAAAGCAATAGAGAATTATAAGCGGGCGCAAATACCTGAAAAAACAAAAAAGAAAAAAGTTAAGTACCTAGCTAACTGTGCGACAAAGTTCTCCAAAACACCATGCACAAAAATGTAATGCAACAGCTACAATCATACATTTGGAGCCTCCTCAAGTAAAAATCATACTTTTGGGACTCTAAGGTTCAACTTCGCTGAAGAAAACCTGGATAACAGATAAAATAATCTAAACAGTAGAGATGTATCAAATATGAGGTGTTGCTAGTAACGCTGTAAGATAAAGCTAACCATGAAATTTAAGATCGTGTTTTGTTATTGGAACATACGTACTATAACTCTAGAATCCACGATTTTATAGAACGCTATTAAACAGTAACTCTTATGTCCACCTAATGCCAAAATTTTCCCGCCACAAGAGAGGTAGTCCAAGCTGGAAATGTGAAAGATTTAAATCGAGAGCTTAGAAAAATAGACCGTGTCGAACTAGTTCATTCAAACATGAATTCCGGATGGGTGAATTGAACCGAAAGATTATATTTCAGTAGGTAGTGAGCAGCGCACGGGATGAGAATACTTGCAACAGAGCAAAGGAGACTATATTTTCATCTTTCGTCCTGGTATTTCCTATAGACACGAACCCTCTGACTCTGAGCAAACAATAAAGCGGAAGGAGCTCCAGAACTTCTAATATACCTAACCAGAGAACCTCCCAGCCTGAAGGAACGCAATCAATAACATAACCTAGTTTGTAACAATCATATAAAATACAACCAAATAAAAAATGTCCATCGGCTACGGCATCTGCCTTGAGGTGGTCGTGTATCCAAGCAAAACAACCCCGTTGTCTGCAGATGCGTCGTCATTGAGAACAAATCGCCCGCCAGGACGAATTTACAGACAAGTTGAAACAAATGCTCCGTAAAAGGACGAAGCTACCGACACCAGAATCGATTAGATCAAACCTCATGCATTGCACTAATGCATTCATACATTGTACCGCATTTCAACCGAAACCACGTTCGAAACAAACACAAAGGAGCATGCAGTTGAGAGAGATGGATTACCAGAATATTGACGGAAGATCCAGCAGAAAGCCGAAGACGCGGAAATTGAAGCTTAGGGGGGAGGATCATGGAGTCGGAAGCGTAGAATTTGAAGGAGTTGGGATTGAAGGTGGACCATTGTTGCCGCGAAAGAACGATGCAGCATTGTTTTCTATAGGGGCGCGTGACAGGGAGGTCTCGCCAAATTAGTTGGCAGCTCAGATTGTCAGAACCCACGACACGTGGCGTGCTTGGGTGTAGTGTCAGGTGAATTTTGTCTATATTCTAATTATTAATTCAACGATATGGGATATGGGGCGGAGATTGTAAATAAAACTGGGGAAATTACAAATGTCAACTATTTACTTTTAATGTATATTTCAAAAGTTATGGATATCATCATTCGAGGAGTCAACTAATCAATTAACAATTATATTAGATTGTGGCTCATACTTCAAAAACGCGATTTAGTTATTGTTAATATGTGTGTCTCTATTTATATTCAACACATACAGAGAATAAATATGTGAATAATCTTAATTAGTGAATATGTGTATTCGCAAGCCAACACGAGTATTCAACTGATCTTGACTAACAAATTTCCACCCTAAGCTGAACTAAGAAAATAAAATAAAAGACTATATATTGTTGTTTGGGAAAGGGAAAAGGTTATGCGGCAACATCATGTTATATGCTACGTATACGTTTTGTTTCCACTTTTTTAATTAAATTTCAGATGGACGCTGTTGTACTGCCAAGTGCCATATTCTGATTGCCCGTGCAGCATGTGCAAGTTGAAAGGGACGGTTCGGACTTTCCTTAGAAAAGAAAAGTGAAAAAGGCAGTTATTGGATGGGGCCCAGAGAGAAGTCCAAATAGTGTAAACAAGGCCCAAAAGCGGCCCACATGTGCTCACGTGGACTTCCCAACGCTTCACTTCAGATCCGCGGCCCATTTCACACATCAGAATCCACATGTCTCATCACGAGTACCTGGGTGGGACCCACGCTTCCAAGTATTTTTCATATAATAATATGCAATGCAGTTGCAGGTGGGAGGGGGAGTGAGGCTGAGTGTCAGCGTCAGTTTGTAATTGTAATAGAGAGTTCCATAAGAACTTCCGCTAAATTGCCCTTTTCTTCAATTTTATTTATTTTTGCTTTGCTTTTCCCGACTCCCAAAAGGCGGAGTAATAGTTCAGACTTCAGAGTTACGTGCGTTTTTTTAATTCTGCCTCGGCTTCAATGGCCGCACCTTCGCTCTTCAGATCTGCACCCGCCGCTTCTTTCGTCTCCTCCTCACCTCATCACTCTACGGTCCTCCTCTTCCCAACACCTCTGCTGTGTTCATCCCTAATCCTTATCATTTCACTAATACATAGCGTTCCCAAATGGAATTTTGACATATGTTGCAACATGGCAACACAAATTGTTTCGTGCTTTTTTGTCTCCCTGACCAAGCTTTTTTTAATAGACTGGAAATGACTTCGACCATGAACAAGTTTTAGGCCTAATCTTTTCACAACTTACTTCGCGCGTTCCATACTCCATAGCTTGTATTGATTAGCCGACGACGAAGTTGATTCTTCCTTACCGTCAACTCCACTTTATGTTTGTAGGCTTCGTTCGTTAATCTGAATTCTTCCAAGTTTCAATCGAGCATTTTCGGTGCCCATGTTTCAAGCGGATCATCATCTTCCTTGCAGCTTAGCAGAGCCCAGAATATCCAACCTATTAAAGCTACAGCTACCGAAATACCTCCGGCGGTTCAGAGTTCAGTATTATTAAACTTTGACATTTCTTTTCCCCATTCATGTTCGCGGATTAAAAAAAAAAAGAAAAGAAAAGAAATTATTGTTGCTAATCATTTTAATTCTTTGGCTTCTCAAGAATCAAGGAGCAGCGGAAAGACGAAGGTTGGAATCAATGGTATGACTTGGTTGGTTATTTATTGCTCTTCTTACGACTAATAATTCCAGTTATCTGCTTTCCTATTATCATATGTGTATCGATTTCTTTTCTCCTTGTGGCACTGAGTTAGGTCCGTTTTTCCGATTTTCTTAATCAATATTTAGGAAGAAAAGGCCAAGGCTTTGAACATCAAAAAGAAGTTAACCGAATCCATAAAAGATATCCTGCATGTGAAACTTAATAAAATAGCGTTGCTTCAGTTTACGATCCCTTTCGATTGGTTAAGAGACTTAAATTTGAAAGTACAGCTGCGTTTTCTCTGTTCAACTTTGAATCTCCTATTTTATAAAGATGGATTTTCAAGTCCGTTATTTCACATGCTTATTAGTGTGTTGGAAATCATTGGTCATGTTCATGCAACCCTGTAAGGTTTCTCTGGACAGAAACAGGTTTTTGTAATTGAAAGTACCCAAATTTCTGTTTAGATGACTTAATTATACTCCTACAGAAAGTTGTGCTTGGTGATGGAAAGTTATGGGATACTTCATTCATTGTTCTTTTTTCCAGTTTTTTTTTTCATCAGTGAAGAAATCATATTATGTATTTTTGTTTACTTGCCTGAATGATGTGATTTTTTTTTCCAGCGCACAACCTGGATATTCTGTTT